ATTTGATTCTCTATTCTGCCATCTGTTTATATAAGCTTGTTAGGTAAGTTACTGTTTTCTTCTGCTGCTCTTCTTGTCTTCAATGTGTCCCTGTGAGTATTGAATTCTCCAAGCTCGCTTTCCTCATTATATGTATTTCAGAAATTTCTCTTTGTGATTCTGAGTATAAGTGTATTTTCTGTTGCTATTTTCTGTAAAATTTCCTTGTCTGTATTTTCTGTTGCTAATAAATTAAGTCATTTTTCATTTGTTCGTCTGTGCTTCATCCATTTTGTATTAAAATGATACTTTAATTCTCTCTAGATAAATTTCCTGAAAACTGTTTTATTTAATAAATATTCTTCCATGAGATCCATTTAAATTTTGGTCAACTTAATATACAAGGTTGGTGGAAAGAAACTCCCTATTTAAAATTTTTAATAACTGATGTAATGGAATAACCTGTCACCCCCATGAGTGACTACACTATAGGTAGTAACTACCTATAAGTAACTGTAAGTCAACAGACTACAGAGACTAGCTGGGATCTGTTGAGTATGACTCAGACTTACGTGAGGACTACTGACCTTCTAATAGTAGCACTCGTTGATTTGCAACGACCTTGTGCATAACTGTTACCTTTATTCTTATTGTACTGTTTTTTTTACAATAAACCTTTACTTATTTTATCCACATTGTTTTTCAAGTATATATTCCTATTAGCATGGAATATAACAAAATGTTAGTAACTTTATTAATTATTGGTCAATTATGTTTTATTTGGAACAGTATATTGGCACATAGGCATCAGAATTGTTCGCCAGTGTTTTTAACTGTAGTGTCTGGATATATTCCTTGAACATTTTCAGTACACTTTTCACATTCTCTTCCAATCTCAATGTTAAACGATGACTTCTTCTTTGGGTATCTACCACAGATCCCATAGTCATCAGTTTGGAATATTAATCTATAAACTACATCCAACAGAAAGACTTTTGATCAGAAGCTTGGAGGTTTTAAGAAGCATGGAACCACTTCTTAATTGCTGTTGTCTCCAGGTCCACCAGGGTGGTATCACCTGTTAGAATCTCAGTTATGAGCAAATAGTAACCCCCCCCCCCAACAAAACCAAAATACTATGAAAGTATAAAAATACCAACAATACATATTTATAATAAAATTAGCTACAATAAGTTTTGAAGCAAAATGACTAGCAATACATTTTATAGTAGAATTACTAACAATACATTTTATAGGAAATTAACCAACAATACCTTTTATAGGAAATTAACCAACAATACCTTTTATAGGAAATTAACCAACAATACATTTTATAGGAAATTAACCAACAATACCTTTTATAGGAAATTAACCAACAATACATTTTATAGGAAATTAACCAATAATACATTTTATCTGTAGTTGAAGGCATACAATTGTATTCAGAATATATTTAATTGAAGCCATAAAATTGTGTTCAAATTATTTCAATTAAATCTTGGTATTAAATGACCCATAAGGAGTTGATATGCCATTAAACAAATAATCAATCAATCAGCTTGGAATAAAAATTTGTGTTGGTTTTGGCATCTACTGAAACACAAGATCCATGAACAATGTGCCACCATCTCTGCACTTGTGCCATGGACTGTCACACTTTGTAACAGGATGTTAGCTGACCATGCTCATACAATGTCGGGCGTTGTGCCATTCTGGACTACACGTGTCACTCTGAAATAAAGACATGGCCATATCACATTGAAACACCAGTTCCTGTACAATCACTGAAGGTAAGCAACATCGAGCCTGGTCAGTACCTAGATCAGTTGTTCTAAACTTTTTGAGTCATGGAACCCTTTAGGTAAGAACACCTTTAGTCACAAACCCCTAGAAGAACTAGCTCTTCATAGACAAACAGACAAGCAAATATTCACAGTCTGATTGGTTTTCACAACATTTTTATATGCATTTCTCTATACTGCACCCTCATGAACACTGCACACATATCACTTTTCAGCCAGTCATGCTTGAAAGAAATTGTAGTCAATTAATTGTCACCAGTATATGAGAAGACAATCAAGCCATGATAAACCATGAAAAATGTGAATTATCATTTGCTTTTATGGAGTGGCAAAAGATAGCAGTCCTTAAGAGAATGAAACACATTTAATAGGTAAACATGGATCTAATAGCAAGTCAAGAGATACCTAGCAATTCACACTGTAAGTAGTGGCTGGGTGCTTTTTTTCTTTCAAGCAGTGGCAGGATACAATTTCTTTTAATTATTTCAAAGGCAAATCATTGATTGAGAAAAGGGTTGTATAGTGAATATAAATGTTAATTTTTATCTGATTCTCATGGATCCCCTGAAATCTATTTATGGGCCTCAGGTTAAGACGCCCTGACCTAGATGGTTGACTGGGAATACCAGGTACTGTAAGCTTTAATATGCAGGTGGTGTAATGGATAATGGCTCAGAATTGTTAATCAGAGAACTGGGTTCGAATTCCTATTGAGCTTGTTATATTCACTTACGCACGAATAACCTTGGAAAAGGTATGAATCCATATCTTCTCCCACTAGCTATGGATTAATTAGTAAGACTTGTATCACTAAACGATTATTATCTTAAAAAAATTCTTATAATCTAAAAATATTTTCTGGCTCTAAATAACCTGCAATGGGTTGATAAACAGTAGAAAGCGAATCAATCAGTCAAATGCTGATTAGCTACACAGGCATGTCTTCCTTTTTTTTTAAGATTTATTTACATTCTCTGGAATATAAATACATATAAACTACTGTGGCCACAAAATAAGTGATCAGTTTTTATATTGATAGTAATATTTAATTGATCTCCCACTTTATATCCACATGATAACTTCTTGTTTGTTTATCAAATTTTTTTTTTTTTTTTTTAAGCGTTTCACCCCAAGCAAGGCGAGAAGCCACTAGGACGCAAGGGGTTACAGAAGATCAGATAGGAATGATAGAAGAAAAGATGAGAAGGGTAGTGGATAGATCAAGGCAACTGGAAATGTCGATTGACATTACATTTGAATAGCTGGAGATTATAGCTCTCAGGGAAATTGGAATAGGGAAGGGAGTTCCACAGGCAAGAGGTGCGAGACATGAAGCTATTGGAGTAGAAGAGACGGCTACATTTAGAAGTTTCGACAGTGAAAGGGTGAGAGCGGGATGCCAGCTTCGTAGGGCGTTTGAACTCGTGAAGTCTGGGAACCAGCAAATGCAGCTCCTCGTAGCAATTGCCATGAAAGTATTTGTAAAACAGACAGAGAGAGGCGATGGCACATCTGTGAGAAAGTGACTGTAGACAAGACGCCAGAGCAGGGCCAATTGTATTGCATATCCGCCTGATTAATTATCAATCCACCTCTTTTCCCCCCCAGCTATGAGTTAATTAGCAAGACTTGTATTAATAAATCATTATTATTTAAAAAAAAAAAAGAAACTTAACATCTAAAAATATTTTCTGGCTTTAAATAACCTGCAATGGGTTGATAAGTCATAGAAAATGAATGAATGAATCATTCTAAAATAAAGGTTGAAATTAGCAATGATAGTCTTTCACTTTAGTGATCACAATATATTTTGTTTCATGCAAATATAGTTAAAAGTAATTTTCAATAGGAAGTCTCTTTCCACCCACCCAGTAGAATAAATATATTTGATTTTAAGTAATTTCATGGACAAAAAAAAAGCAGTTTCAGTTCTTTTATGATCAAGCTTCTATGAGTTATTAGTTCTTTGATCATGTTTGGGAAATGATTTTCTGGATATTTTTTTACAATAAAAACTGCTAGGTATATAAAGTATATAGACATCAGCTACAAAATCTTTGCACTAATGAATTGTTAAACAAATATCAGATTTCAAGAAAAAAAAAATTGATACCAGCAAGGTTACTGTGTGTTGCCTGGAAGAAGAAAGAATTATTTGTTATTTTATTTCCGAGATATTTACTATGAAAAATGATAATTTTATCACAATTAACTCGCTACAGAAAAATTTTTAAAAATTAACTGTTCTAAAAGTATACTCTCATATTCACATGCATTTTTTCAAATAAAATTTCCTCATGAAATCAACTATTTAATGCACAAAGAAAATAAATGACACTTTTTTAATTATTATATGCTTTGCTATTTGAACCAGAATGCTCACCTTGGTTGTCATACTCACAATATTTCAGCTCTCTATATAGGTGTGAAGCTCTTGCCCAAATATCTCTATAAACTGTGCCTCTTACTCTGTAACTCTCTACCTCGAGTGGCTCTTGGGCCTTGTACAGGGTGAACATAATTGTAAAAAAAAAAAAAAATAATATTCCAACCATGAGATCTGTGTTTGAATCTCACCATGGTTCATTTTTCAAGGAGGTGGCTTCTTGATAATATTGGCCTGGGGGGATGATCACAGCATGTGGCACTGTTGGAAAGTGCCTGAAAACCACATCACAAGTTGACTAAAGCCTTATGAATGAAATTGGGTAAACTATTTGGAAGCTGTCACATGGTTGGGCTAGCACAAAGTCACAAGTCATCATGACCAAGGGTTTTGAATATACTGGCCTTGTTCAAACTATTGCTCATGTCAAAATATACACTTACTATAGCTATAGTCTGCTCAGTATAGTTGCCATATAAGCCACTGAGTCCATGGATGTTGAGTAAATATGATCTGAGCAGGCTTCTGCAACAGAGCCACCCTAGCAGACAGGCATATTCAGGTATAAGTGGCCAGCTATAATATTTCAGCCCTCTAATTGAAAAGTTGTGATTATAACAACCAAGCAATATAACAACTGGCCTTCTCCAGGTGTCTGTCATTGTACTCGGTAACCTTCTTCAAATTTTGAACCAAACACTTTATTCAATTTAAAGGTTATATTGTTCTCAGTTTACTTTCCATGCATAGGGATCTTTCATAGTTAATTCTCGTCAGTCTTTTTCATCTTTGTATCCGTTTCTTCCACTGAATCAGCGTATGTGACTTTTCAGCACTACCAGACCCGGGGATTGAACTCACAGCTGCTAGAGTACAATGGCCGAAACGTGAGTATAATAAAGACGAGCATGTTGTTCTGAATGGCAAAGCATATAATAATGATAATTCTTCATTTGATGAAATTTGCCTTTTTTCAGTTGGAGTGTTACAAAAAATAGATTAGAAAGAAAATGTTCATTTAAATGAATCATTTTAAAATGGGTTGGTCTTGAATTTTAACTCTGTTACAAATATCAAAATCAGGCATGTTACTCAGGAGAAGCAATCAGTCGGCCTTTATAAAGTAAATTGTCAATAACTACCTTTTCACAATGAGGGAATACAGAGTGTGATGGGTAAATTGTCATCTAAATTACACCAAAATGAAAATAACACTGACATTTCATTTTAACAGATATATTTACCAAAATTACACAAAAACATTGAAATACTAAAGAGTAAATTTATTCAATAAAATTGCCATAATCTTTACCTTCAGTTCATCTTTGGTGTTAAAGGAGTTTTGTTGGTCTCTTGTTCCACACATGATAATCAAGGGGGTTGCAATCTGGGGAGTTAGGTGGTCCAGATGGAAAGGGTTAATAACCTGAAAAGTGTTAATAAGCTGTAGAAAATGAATCAATCAATCTTTGAGTCAAAATTATGGCCAGACTAATTAAGATGAATGACTAATACATTAAGTGTTTTGTTTTGTAAAATATCCCTTTTATGTTCATGTAATCTTTTAATTAAATTTCTAAATGATTCACTAAAGAATTTCATGAGAATTTTTTGTACTCCATTCCACAAATTCCAGCTTCAGGTTTAATGTTATTTGTTTTACGTTAATGAAATTTAATTCTCTTTGAAGTATGACAAATTCTTTATTAAGACGGGGGTAAATTCTGTTCACTTATAGTCATTATAGGGTTGGTAGGCAGTATTATGTACCTATTTTTATCAAGGTTATTTATATTTTTGTTTTTGTAGATTTTGTAAGCTTTTCTCTTCACGTTATATAAGAAATAATTAGAATATTGGAGGAGGTTAAACGTTTTTCAATGTATACAGGGTGCGATGGATAAATTGTCGCCAAAATTACACAAAAATGAAAATAACACTGACATCTCATTTTAACAGATATATATACCAAAATTACACAAAAATATCTCGAAATACTACCGAGTAGATTTATTCAATAAATTTATTCATTGGCTTCAACCACAGCCTCCAGTTGACTTCAGAATCTCCTGAAACTCTTCTGGACGGTCTTCTTGATAAAGTTGGTGAATGCTGCCGTAATCATTGCCTTCAGTTCATCTTAAACAAGGAATTTTTCTGGTCTCTCACTAAGTTTTGCCCCACACATAATAATCACAGTGATTGCAGTCTGGGGAGTTAGGTTGCCAGATGTAAAAAATAATGTTGTTACAGAAATTGTTTAACAGCCATGACCTTGTTCTCCAACTTGTGTGACATGGTGCAGAGTCCTGTTGCCAGACATAGTGTCTTCCAGGGCAACACTACCTCCTCAAAGCACTTGTTGTAGGCCTCTATGTTGAGCCTGAGGCCCTCACCAACAAATTCGAGAGTTCTTTTCTTATCAGAACAATCAGAGTGAGTTTTCCGAGTTGCCATACTGTTGTAATCACCATTAGACTCATCCAACTCTTTCTGAATCCTCTGCACTGTCCTCAGATTGACACATAAGTACTCTGAAATGTTCATATTGGAGCTTCTGGTGCAAATGTTGTTTCCAAATTTCTGGCAGAGTTAATTGTGTCATGGTGCTCTTGTTCTCACAGATGGTGCCCAACTGACCCTACTATATTTTGCAGTTGACAAAATCAAAAACAAACAACGTGCATGCACAAAATTAAAAATATAAATGGTGACAATTTACCCATTGCACCCTGTATTTAAAAATATTTTGAAAAGAAACGATGATAATTGAAACATTTTAATAAATAAAAGTCACTAATTTTTCCTCTTTTATATAAGAAAAAAAGACATAATTACAATTAAAAATTATGTTCACGTATGATCACTTAAATTAAGCAACATTGAGCCTGGTGAGTACCTAGATGGGTGACCACTTGGGAATATCAGGTGCTGTAAGCTTGGATGTGCAGGTGGTGTAAGGATAATAGCAGAGAATTCTTAATTTGAGAATCAACTTTCAATTCCTGTTGGTTTTGTTATATTCACTAATATGCAAATACTCTTGGGAAAGTTATGAATCCACCTCTTCTTCTCCCCAGCTATGGGTTAATTAGTAGGACTTGTATCACTGAACCATTATTATTAAAAAAAAATTCTTTTAGTCTAAAAATGTTTTCTGGCTTTATTTATAAGCCATAAAAAAATAAATGAATCAATCAATCATGTACATTAAATGTGAAATGACTTTGGCAAAGCTAGAATTTCTGCTACTTTTATTGTCCCTTATCAAATGTGGCTTGTAGCAGCATTCTATATTTGATTAACATTATAGATGAGTGACAGTATAGCAAATTTAATGATCATACCCTCAAAGAGGCTCCTTGCCTTGAACATCTACTGGATCTAAAACACATTCCTGACCTCAAATTAAATGTGAATATTTGTGCCGTTGCAAATGAGGCTGAAAGAAGAGTTAGTTCCTTGAATTAATCCAGAAAATAGCTAAATTCTGTTTCCATGATCTATCTTCACAAGAGTCTGACCAGACCAATAATGAAGAACTGCTGTCATATTTTTAATGTATACCGGGTGCGATGGATAAATTGTCGTATAAATGACGCCAAAATGAAAATAACACTGACATTTCATTTTAACAGATATATTTACCATAATTACACAAAAACATTGAAATACTAAAGAGTAAATTTATTCAATAAAATTGCCATAATCTTTACCTTCAGTTCATCTTTGGTGTTAAAGGAGTTTTGTTGATCTCTTGCTCCACACATGATAATCAAGGGGGTTATAATCTGGGGAGTTAGGTGGCCCAGATGGAAAGAGTTAATAACCTGAGAAGTGTTAATAAGCTGTCATATTTTTAATGTATACAGGGTGCGATGGATAAATTGTCATCCAAACTACACAAAAATGAAAATAACACTGACATCTCCTTTTAACAGATATTACACAAAAATATCTTGAAATACTAAAGAGTAGATTTATTCAGTAAATTTATTCATTGGCTACAACCACAGCCTCCAGCTGCCAAATCTTCACTGTCCAGCCTCAACAGAGTTCAAAAGGGATTATGCAGTCTATACCAGTTGCCATCCAAGGCTATAGAACCCAGTCTGTCCTGCTATTTACCCATAGCTGGAGGGAGAAGAACAGGATTCACACCTTTCCCAAGGGTATTAGCACATAAGTGAATGTAATGGATTCAACTAGAATTCGAACTCTGCTCTCCGATTCCTCAATCCAAGCCGTTATCCATTACTCCACCGATGCAGTCTTGTGGGTAATAAATTATTCTCCACCCTGAAAACCTTATCCTACATATAAGATATTCTCTCTACTCTATCACTATTACTATGACAGATGTTTGAACAAGTTACCTTCCTTAATTCTACCTGCTCAGATGAGCTAGGACATATCATGCCATGTTCACAGTGGCAAATCATCCCCATTCCCTACTGTGTTCCTTTGGTAAGGAGTAAGTTCAACTTAAACAGCTTCTTCTCCAGAACTGTTAATAAAATCCAAAGGGATGCTTTCCTCTTAAATAATCTTGGTCTCTTCAAGTCCAGGTTCAACTAATATCAATCCTACACATCTCATAATGTGCACTGCTTACTTCCCTTCTTACAATAATCTCAATCAGTAACCTTCTACCTTGAGTGGTTCTTGGGCCTTATATTGGGTGAACTAACAGTATATAAAAAAAAAAGAAAATGGTGTGTTACTTTTCATCTCAAGTCTAGTCATTAAACATGAACATTATTATCAGTGAAAGAAAAAGTAGGAAAAGAACTTGACCTTTGCCAATACCTGTCACAATAGTTGCAAGCGGGGAGTGGAGGAAATCAAACAGATTCTCAGTGACATTACTGACTGACCCAAGAATCTGAATGTTATATGTCAGCCCATTTCAGGAAATAAACATGGAAACAATGTCTATACAAATGTCATTGAACCAATTTTCAGAAATGCCAACATGCAAATTGATTATTCTAGGTTTGGCTCAAAATTAGAACAAATATCACCTGAAGAAGGCCGGAGCATAAAATGACCGAAACATTGTGAATATGACAATAAAGAACAGTCCAAATAATATAGTGTAAATATCTTCTTTTTTTATGTACTATGTCCCCTAGGCGATCATGGCCCTCCACAACTTGATGTCTCTTGTTGCTTTTAATAAATTTTATATTTCTGTTATTTCTCCTAAGCCCTGTTCCACCATACATTTACTTAAGCTCATTATGTAGTGTGTTGTTTTCCTCTGTCCCTCTTGTCCTCAATCTGTCCTGTGAGTATCAGATTTTCCAAGCCCTCCTTCCTCATTATGTGCCCTAGAAATTTCATTTTCTAAAAAGATTTCATTTTCTTCTAAAACCTCATCATTGCTCACATGTTTGGTCTATGGTTAGCATCATTCTGTAGAGCCACATTTGTGTTGCTTCAAGTCTCTTCTTCACCTGTGTGGAGATTGCCCAGCATTCACTGCCATACAGTAGGGCAGATATCATATAACAGTTCAATACTCTTTTCTTTGCTTAAAAAAGCAAAAACGATGTTGATCTTAGAGAATATACACATAAATGGGAGAAATATTGCATATATACAGGAATACAACTGATATTCTGGCAATCTTGGTTCCAGAACTGTGCCAAGATATCCATTTTGCCAGAACAACAGATATCACACAATAATTCAATACTGACTTATAAGATTCAATATCTCAAAAAACAAACTGTTATCATTCTATCATCACTGAGTAGATCTAGAATTTTCATCTTTATGAAGGAGCACCAATAATCGCATTCATCCCACAAAACAAATCCAAAGAAAAACATGAAATAGACAACATGAAATAAGCCAGTCACAAATGTTGCCACCAAAAAAATGAATAAAAGATGAGCTCAGGTGCATCTACAATTTGATTTTAAGAAAGCTACTCATAAACGACTCAGGCAGTAGCAAGAACAACAAAGCTTCACTAATCCACTCCAGGCCTCTCTTAAAATCACCACTATGATCTTGGTCAATCAACCCTGTAAATACATCAACTCCAGGCCTCCCCAATTTCCTTCAAAAGCTGCCTGTATTGAGCACATTACAGACATTTAACTCACATCCCCTGTATTGGCAATACAAAGAATTTTATATTAACAATTCTTTTCATTTCACTTGTTTTTCAGTGCTACCATATGTGTGTTTATAATGATAAATTCTATCCATCAGTGTGTCAATTATAGTGCACTGCATATTTTAATTGGGAAAACTTTCAAAGAGGGAATTTGGGTTCTTCATGACGTTTCATTTGATTAGCTACAACAGACTTTTACCTGGGAATACCAAACTTTCATTTCTGTATCACATTATTATGGGTGATGAAAAATGGGTTTGGTATGTCAACAGAAAAAGAAAAAAACAGTGGTTATCACAAAATGACAAGCTTATGCCAACACTAAAACCAGGACACTATACACAGAAGTCCTTGCTTTGTGCCTGGTGGAATTTGTTTATCACCAGCTACTGGAATATGGAAGACCCTCACAAGGGTTAAATCAAGATGAACCTTCTTGTAGGGTCAAAGACCATCTAACACAATGGGTTCCATAGCTATAGATGCAGTCATTGCAATAATGACACAATATTCTAGACTTTTAATGGCCAGGACAGAGTGTTCCTCTGATGGAAATAGCCAAGTGTCCATGACAAAGGTGATCTTTCAATTTGGAGGACATCAATTGTTGTTTGACATGGAGAGGGATAGGCTGCATCAGGTCTACTTGCCTAAAACATGTTATGCATGAATGAATACCTCACTAGATTTCTACCCAGATATGTGGAGGGAACTAGTCAAGGGGTTCAACTGCACAATGACCCTACAACCAACAATGGTCATGTAACGGATGATGGTCATGTTCAAATAAATGTTCTGCTGGAAATTTTTATCTAACTTTGATAAACTGGAACAAAATAATCATGCTGTAGAGGAAATTATTTTTAATAAGCACCATGTTGGATGCAGAGTGGTTGTAAGATATAATTCAATTGTGCCATTGCTTGTATTTAGTACACAAGTGTAGTTTGTCCTGTTATTTATAAAAAAAGATTTCCTTTTTTTGTCTTTGGGAATCTGTTCATTTTTTTTTTAAATCTCAGTTGTAAAGTAGCAATGAGCAACAAAGCTTGAATGTGGAGGTTTATTTTATAATGTATGCATAACACCAAACAGGACCCTGACTTTATCTCTAACATCAAATATTTAATTTACTATATAAAATATGGTTAAACTAGACCCTGATTTTATGCTAAACTTTGTGCAAATTACATAGGAAACTGAAAAGTATGGGAGCCTAAAAAAAGAAAATGTTTATTTTTTTAGGTAATAACTTTGGGCTTGGATTTTTATAACATTACAAATATAGTTTTTAATCCAAGAGAAAAACTTGAAATTTGTCTCCTTTTTTTATTTTAGACTTCTATACTATAAAATTATGAATATTATGAACTAAAAGTGTAAACAACTTTATTCTTTATTTATATTCCACGATATGCAGGAATCATTGCTCTCCACAGCTTCCTTTCTAGTAGTTCTTACAATGCTTCTTTGTCACTTTTTTGCCTCATCTTCATTCATGCAACCCCTTTGTCCCTTGCCTTCAATATATTCCTTTACCATAGTACAGCACTTTTATGTCCCTTCCTTTTTTATTTGGTTACATATTAGATTAGTCACTGTTTTTGACCACTTCCTGTTTATACCAAAGTAATTACCAGAATAATCCACAGAGTCAAAGTATACAGTTCATATTTTCTTATCTTCCTAAATCTACCCTCAACAATAGCATCACCGGTATATAACTTCTTCACCTTTTTCTTTAAGCATTAGTCTCTCTTAATATATTATTAGTTGAAGCCACCTTGTATATATTCATTTTTTCTACT